TTTACTGTAAATCTCTTTTTCACAGATGTCCAATATGGGCACGGGGTAAGAACGTTACAACAACACAATACCAAAAACACGATATTAGCACACGGTAACATGAAGGTAAACAAATCACCCACACACATACAGATAAAACTAAGCCATCCCAATCCTACCAGGCAAAGCCCACCGATGTAAAAGCGACCTAGCTATCACAAATTATAGATCAAAAAAGTTGGGTATCACGTGGACAATTACAGCGGGCAAATCATCTAAATAATCTCAATGCATGTTTCTAAATGTCGAGGGGGGGGGGGGGGGGTACCGGAGAACCTAGGATAGAGAGAGAGACACGCAAACTCCAAAAATACAGCAGCAGGCATGGTCGGGATCGAACCCACGACCTCCTGCATACCAGGCGAGGTAGTTAACATCACCTAGCCACCGTGGCATCTCTGAAATAAACAAATCAGGTATACAAGTTCAAATTGCATTTGTTCATCCATTCCCAAGCGTGGAAAAGGCAGTAAACAACAGAAACACTCCCCAGACCACACGAAGACAACACACATACTGTCCCTCAGTAACATTGTACAACACTAAAAGTGAAATTAAATGTTGATTTAAAGCTTTCGTGACTGCAGGGATTCATATTCTTGGTTCTTTCGGTAAAGTCACGTTGAAGGGAAACAATAAAATAATAAAAATATAAAACAATAAAATTCTCACGACGTTTTGACTGCAACACAAACAATCATCAGGTGTGAAACCCACGGCAAGAAAATTTGAAAAACGTGGCGGTTATTTTTTAACGTTAGCACCACGGAGAGCGATTTGTCAGTTTGTTCAGATGGACGAGTTTTTGTGCCAGTAAAAAAGGGTGAAACCTATTCCTATACTATGAAACCTCTGCTCAGAGACGCACGGAGTCGAGATGGCAATTCTCCTGCTGTGTATCCTACTGCTGTCCCTCCCGGCCATATCTAGTGCCACACTCAACTCTACAAACGGCTACCCTCGTTATTTTGCGTCAATACTTGTTGCTCGATTTGCCACTACACCTGCAAATGAAACAGCTCATAGACACTTCTACACTCCATCATTGTATCCTTTTAAACCCTATCTTTGTCCTATTACTTCACCAGCACTTCTTCCAAACTTCATTCTGCTCTTAAAAATAACACCATCTGCGAGCTGCTGCTATTCGTCCAAGGTTCGCCGCTCTTCATCCTTTCACAGAAAATACTGATGCAAACTGTTAATTCTACTTTTATTATTTCTGGGTGGTATTGAGCTTCATCCTGGCCCAAATGAAAAGAGCTCGTATAATTCTGTAGATTTTTCTGGCAGGAAAGGTGTTGGTGTTCTACATGAAAACATCAGAGGGCTTGTGATTAAATTAAGTCAACTAAAACTAGAAGTGGCAAATCTTGACCCGGACATTTTTTGCCTAACAGAAACATTTCTCACTCCTGCTGTCAATGACTTGCAGATTACGATTGAAAACTACAACCTTTTTTCGGCTTGACCGAGGATCTAAAGGAGGTGGAATTGTCATCTATGTTCGTAACACTATTGCATGTTCACCAGCTCACTCCTTGTTTAAAAAAATGTTGCTTTGAAGGTCTGGCTCTCAGAATAACTCTCCCAAATAATCAACAGATATTGGTAGTGTGCTGCTATAGACCGCCTTGTGGGAAGGATGTTGAAGCTGCATCGGCATTGAGAGAGCTTTTTGGGGACCTCCCTAAAGGTGAAATAATTTTAGTGGGTGATCTAAATTGGAATTGGCTAAACCCGCCGGCCGTGGCCACAAATTTTACAGATGAATTTAACTTGTTTCAATTAATAAATGTCCCCACAAGACCCAACCTAAAAAATCCGGGACAGTCAACTCTGCTTGATGTCCTATTGACAAATGCCCCTCACAATTTCGCACTGACTGGTGTTCTGGGTAATAACCTTAGTGATCACTCCTTCATTTTTTGTGTGAGATCATCAGCCAGACCCAAAGCCCCCCCTAAAATTGTTGAGAAGCACTCTTTGAGGCACTTCAGCACTCAGGCATTTACAAATGATGTGCTTCACTCAGATATTGATAAGGTCTGTGATATCCTCAACCTGACTACGGCATGGGAGACTTTCAGGTACACGTTTCTCCAAATTCTTAACAAACATGCTCCGTTGGTTAGATGTAAAACTAAAGGCAACCGCCCACCATCCTTTGATTACAAAGCTCATGAAAACTAGGGACAAAGCTTGGGCATGTGCTCAGAAAAGTAATTTGGTAAATGACTGGCTAGAATACAGGATTTTAAGGAATAGATGCGTAAAAAAGTACGGCATGCAAAAAATGCCTATTTTTCCTTCACTCACCTGGAATCACATGGAAATGCCAGGATTTTTTGGAAAACAATCAAATCTATCGAAAAGGCATCCAAAACAGAAAATCTGCCCGTTGAGCTTCACCGAAATGGGGAATATTTTTCAGATCCCAAAAAAATAGTTGACAATTTTAACCTTCATTTTTCTGAAGCTGGTAATCTTTTTGATAATGTATTGGGATTCACCCCTGCTCCTGCAAATTCCTACACTCCTGTCCAAACATTAAACGAATTTAGTTTCCAACCAATCCACCAAAGTAATGTTCTGAAACAACTGTCCTACCTCAAAGGGTCCTCCTCTACCGTCTTTGCTCTACTAACTGTTGGTCACCTAATATACAAACCTATAGCCCATATTTTCAACCTCTCCATCAAAGAAGCATCAGTTCCTCTAGAATGGAAACATTCCTATGTCCGTCCACTTCACAAAGGGGGCCCTAAAGATGATCCCAATAACTACCGACCTATCTCAATTTTGTCCCCATTGATGAAAAATTTAGAAAAATTATTGAACTACCAAATGAGCAGTTTCCTGTCCACCAACAATCTACTACATCTAAAACAATCTGGGTTCCGGAAAAAATACAGCACCACATCTGCTGCATTAGACTCTTTGAATCAAATTTACAATAGCCTTGATAATAAGCAGTACTGTGCCTGTCTTTTTCTTGACCTGTCCAAAGCTTTTGATACAGTTGACCATAAACACCCTGCTTAGTAAACTAAGTTGCCTCGGTTTTTCCGAGAACACAGCACAATGGTTAAAAATTACCTCTTTTCTCGCACCCAAACTGTATTCACAGATGGTTGGAGGTCAAACAGTGTTAAGATAACAAAAGGGGTTCCACAGGGTTCCATCCTCGGCCCCCTCTTGTTCTCTCTTTATGTCAATGACTTGGGCACTGAACTGGATCATTCCAGGATAAATCTTTTTGCAGATGACACGATACTGATTACTGCTGGCCGCTCTCCGGATGACGCTCCAGGGTGATTTCAACAAACTACAACATCAGTTAGTTTCTCTTAAGCTAGTCCTGAATACTTCCAAAACCAAGGTGCTATGCTTCTCTCCGGGATTAAAGCAGGAAGTTATTTTTCCACAATTACATTCCTTGAATAATTATCAAATAGAGCAAGTCAAGATCTATAAGTATCTTGGGGTCATCCTGGATTCAAAACTTAGTTTTGAAGATCACATTGATTATATTGGTAAAAAGACAAAAATAAAAATTGGTTTTCTGTATCGACACAAGCACTGCTTCCCCCCAATGTTCCGTTTGGAATTGATAAAAGCTACCATACTGCCTTTACTTGACTACTGTGACATCGTGTATAAATCAGCCCCAAGTACTGTACTGAAGAAGCTTGATTCCGTCTATCACTCGGCCTTAAGATTTGCATTGAACTGCCCATATAGGACTCACCACTGTGATCTCTACATTGGGTCAAACTTAACATCTCTTAATGTTCGACGGCTTGTGCACCAGATCTTATTTATTCACGATGTACTTACAAAAAATTCCGCAGACTACCTACTAGATCTCCTCTCTGTTTCAAAGAACAAATTTGACCTCAGGTCTTCGCTCATTTACCAGCTTCACATTCCCTATTGCCGTACTAAAACTGGAGGAAGGGCCTTTGCTATTGATGCCCCCAGGGTCTGGAATGCTATTGCCAATAAACTGCAACTTGAATCACTACCTATGAGATCTTCACTCAAAACTGCTCTAGAGGAGTTGTACAACCCTAGCTGCCACTGCTATTCAGTGGCCTAAAATATGGCTCTAGATTTTGGTGTTATAATTAATTTATGAAGTTTATTGTAAAAAAAATTCGGTCACTGTCCCTATGATCACTGTTACATTGGATTTATGGCTTTTATTTTGGTGATTTCGAAAAGTTTTTTTGTTTGTTTTGGCCATGTTTTTGTTTATTGTAGTACCGAGTTGACTGATGGCCTTAATCTTAGTTGTCTTGTGGTTGTTGTTGTTCATATTCTAAGTTCTTTCGGTAAAGTCACGTTGAAGGGAAACAACAAAATAATAAAATATATATAAAACAATAAAAATTCTCACGACGTTTCGACCATAACACAAACGGTCGTCTTCAGGCGTGTTGGTTTGCATAAATTTATTTTATTTATGGTCGAAACGTCGTAAGAATTTTTATTGTTTTATATATACTTTATTATTTTGTTGTTTCCCTTCAACGTGACTTTACCGAAAGAACTAAGAATATGAATTACTGCAGTCACGAAAGCTTTAAATCAAAATTTAAGTTGTTATTTTGACTTGCATCCCACTGGGAATTTTGCACACAGCGTTGGTGTACGGTGCTATTTCAGGAATATTTTGATATTTTTTTCCTGTATTTTCTGTTTGCACAGTCACACAAAGTAGTCACTTTAAGATGTTTTCTTGTTCGTGTTGTTTGTTTGTTGCGGGTGCACCCGATTCAAGAGCCGAATGGCTCACAGGGCTATACCAACACAAATGAACTATGAACTCTGACTCCGCGACGTCACTTCCTGGTTCAGGGGTCGTCTCGTGACGTCATCGAGCGCGAGACACCCCCCCACCCACCCCTCTTCCCCCCCACCCCTCTTCCCCTCCCCTCACTCTGAGCCGGTTTCGGGGTCGATGACGTCACGAGACGACCCCTGAACCAGGAAGTGACGTCGGGAGTCGACTCCGTGCGTCTCTGAGCAGAGGTGCTGATGGTGGTGGTGGTGTTGTGGTGTTTTTGTTGTGTTGTGGTGTTGTTGTGGTGTTGTGGTGGTGTCGTGGTGGTAGTGTTGTGGTGGTGTTGTTGTGGTGGTGGTAGTGTGGTGGTGGTGTTGTTGTGGTGGTAGTTGTGTTGTGGTGGTGGTAGTGTTGTGGTGGTGTTGTGGTGGTGTTGTGGTGGTGGTGTTGTGGTGGTGGTGTTGTGGTGGTGTTGTGGTGGTAGTGGTTGTTGTGGTGTGGTTGTGTTGTGGTGGTAGTGTTGTGGTTGTGTTGTGGTGGTGGTTTGTCGTGGTTATGTTGTGGTTGCTGTGGTGTTGGTTGTCGTTGTCTTGGGCTGTGGTGGTTATTTTGTTTGTGGTTGTAGTGGTTGTTGTGATTGTTGTTGTAGTGGTTGTTGTGGTGGTTGTTGTAGTAGTTGTTGTGGTGGTTGTTGTAGTAGTTGTAGTGGTTGTTGTGGTTGCTGTGGTTGTTGTAGTGGTTGTTGTGGTTGTAGTGGTTGTAGTGGTTGTTATGATGGTTGTTGTAGTGGGTGTTGTGGTGGTTGTTGTAGTGGTTGTTGTGGTGGTTGTTGTAGTAGTTGTAGTGGTTGTTGTAGTGGTTGTTGTGGTTGCTGTGGTTGTTGTAGTGGTTGTTGTAGTGGTTGTTATGATGGTTGTTGTAGTGGTTCTTGTGGCTGTTGTAGTGGTTGTAGTGGTTGCTGTGGTTGTAGTGGTTGTTGAGGTGGTTGTTGTAGTGGTTGTTGTGGCTGTAGTGATTGTTGTGGCTGTTGTAGTGGTTGTTGTAGTGGTTGTAGTGGTTGTTGTAGTGGTTGTGGCTGTAAGTGGCTGGCTGAGATGCCATCTGTTGAGGAAGTATTGAAGGCGATCCAGAGCCTGAGACCAGGAAAGGCACCGGGGTATGGCGTTTGTGCACAGACAGCCCTACATGACATCATAGCAACAGTCTGGACCACTGGACGGGTTCCGCAGGATTGGAAGGATGCCCTGGTGGTCCCCATCTTTAAGAAATGAGACCGCACAGACCGTAACAACTACGGGGGCATCTCACTCCTCTGTGTGCCGGGAAAGGTCCTGGCAAGGATTATTCAACATCGCCTTGCCAGGCACGCTCAGGAGAGGCTTGTGGAGACCCATTGTGGTTTCAGGAAAGGGCGGTCCTGCACAGATGCCATATTCTCTGTCCGTTTGCTACAGCAGAGGTGTCGGTAATTCCAACAAGACCTACATCTCTGCATTATTGAGCTGGTCAAGGCCTATGATACCATCAGTAGGCCTGGGCTCTGGGTTGTTCTTCGTGCTTTCAGAGTCCCTGACCCTCTACTCACGATCATTAAGGAACTTCATGATGGTGAGCGGGCCCGGGTAAAACTACGTGGCCGGGAGTTGGAGCCATTCCCTGTTCACCTTAGGGTGCGACAGGGATGTCCTCTGGCTCCAACATTATTTAAAAAAAATTCGACCACGTAATTCGTGAAGCCTTTGATGGCTGTACCAGAGGAATTTCCATCTGGTACAGATACAATGGGAGGCTGATCGATGCCCGGGTGCGTTCAAGGGATGGATCCCTATTGGTCAACCACGTTATGTATGCCGATCTGGTAATTGCCGCTCACTCAGAGGAGTTGGAGGCACTGCTGCTGAAACTGGAGCGTGCCACTAAGAGGTGGGGCCTTACCATCAGCCCCACCAAAACTAAGCACCTACCTGGGTATTTTGTACCATCGGACACTCCACCCCCACAACTCCCAATCGGTGATGGGGCAGTTGTGGAGAGAGTGGAGAGTTTACCATACCTGGGCAGTGTGCTCATGACCGGCTCCGATTTGACAGCAGAGGTCTCACTCAGAATCAGTCGAGCCGCATTATCTTTTCATCGGTTGCGTAACGCTGTGTGTAAGCTACCTGGTCTGTCGCTCCGCACGAAGCTTCAAGTCTTCTCGGCCACGGTCATTCCCTCCCTTCTCTACGCTTGCCAAATGTGGACCCCCTAATGGAGCATCTTCGCCAATTGGAAACATTTAGGCTGGCCGGCCTACGATTCATTCTGGGTTTAACCAGGCTGGATTGTGTGAGGAGCTCACAAATCTCTGAAACATCTTGGCAAAGTCCCATCGGTGAGCTCCTCCGGCAGGCAAGGCTGCATTGGCTGGGTCATGTAACCGGCATGCCCAGTCACCGCATGCCCAAACAGCTTTTGTTTGGCCGGATAGAGGGGGCTAAACGGGCGCGGCACGGGCTAGAGAAGAGATGGAGTGATGTGGTGCAGGAGGACGTGGAGCTGAGTGGACTTGCCGATGACTGGTACCAGTGGTGTCAAGATCGGCCTCTGTGGAGGAGGCTCGTGAAGGACGCTACTGGGCAGTTGGAGGCAGTCGCCCTCCAACAACAACGGAGGGCGGAGGAGCGACGCTCACAACGAGCGGAGCGCCGGGTGGCTAAAGCACAGCAGGTTGGCACAGTAGGGGGCACAGGTGGTGCATCAGCCAGTCATCTCAGTCATCTCAGTCAGTTGACCCGTGGCACCTGCTGGGTCTGCCCCGTGACCTGCAAGCGGGCGGTCGACACTTGACGTGGCCTCAAGGTGCACATGGCCTGGCACAAGCGTCGTGGTGACATCACCGCCACTCAGTGGCGAATGGCGGTTGTTGTTGTGGCTGTTGTAGTGGTTGTAGTGGTTATTGTAGTTGTTGTGGTTGTTGTGACTTGTTGTGGTTGTTGTAGTAGTTATTGTGGCTGTTGCAGTGGTAGTTGTGGCTGTTGTAGTGGGTGTGGTGGTTGTTGTTGTAGTGGGTGCGATGGTTGTTGTTGTAGTGGGTGCGATGGTGGTTGTTTACCCAGCTGAAGCTTCGCTTCATCTTCCTTTTCTAGGAATATCGATTAAGTGGCAGCAACTGGGGATTGCCGTTCAGGTTGTAACAGCGACGCGCTAGGGGCTATCCATTTTTATTAACGTGTTTAAGCAAACAGATAGTCCACCGCCGGCTGCATTATTATTATTATCGAGGCTTCACCCCCCCCCCCCCCCCGTTTCCTATCCGTACATTGTCAGTAGACCCCCCATACGCATTTGGGTTAACCCCCCTCCCAACTCCATGCGCACGTGCTAAATGGATGGCCCGCTACAGCGTGGGGCCATGCAGGGCTGCTCTGCCATTCTTCACTGATGGGGATTCTCTCTCTTTCTCTCTCTCTCCGTGTCATATGTCCTCAGCCTAGCTCATTGCTTCAGCTCACTGGGGGGACGACACTCGGCCGAGTCCTTCGATACGTTCCCCGTCCCTTTTGCTGTGACGTCGTTCTACACCGGTCCGTCTGTAAATCATCCGTCCGGGTTGCCACGCGATGCTGTGGGCGAGTCTTCAATACGCGACTTGGATTTACGTGATACAGCTGCTTTTGCCTTGATTGCTTTTTTTTTGCTTAATTATTTCTCTCCCTTTGTAACGATATCGATTGAGGAGCGCGCACAGCTGTGGATGCGGTGTCTTAGGTGTAACGTACGTCAGTGTTTGATGTCTGCCCTGCTGCTACATTTACTTTTGATAAATGTTCCTCGTTCACTTTGAGGCCTGCTGCCTGTCCTCGTCACTGTGTCTCATCGGTGAGATCCTCACTTTCAAGAATCCTTGCTCAATCTGCGAATATTTTACAGGGACTCCTGCAACTTGAGTCATTTGCAGGCAGCTACATTTTCAGCACTGCGATGCTCGTTCAACTACTTGGGTGGGAGGGGGGTTTGCATATTTTTTAATTAGAGGAAACCCTTGGAAAACAGGTGCAGAATATGCAAACTCTACGCAGAAAGGTTCAGTCAGAGGAATAATTTTCCTGTAAAGCCCACAGAGCTAAGAAGGTATTTGTCAAGGGCCACTCGGCCGACAGACAACATGAAAGCATTCCACAATTACACCCACTCACCTACTCAACCACTCACCCATTCACTTACCCAGCTACTCACCCACCTACCCACACCCACTCACCTATTCATCCATCCATTCACCCACTCACTGACTCGTCCACCACTCACCCATCGAACTACCCACTCACTCACCCACCCACACTCACTGGCACATTCACTCTCACCCACTCACAACAAAGACGAAGATCAAATATTCCCCGTATAGCTTAAATAAACTGTCGGGGCAGGTGCTGTAAGCGGGCACCTATGAAGGCCGTCACGGCACACGAGGGGATTTGTGGCAGCACCACGCCCGACCACCTTTGTATCCCCAGTGGTGATGTTTGCAGTCATTTGAGGCCGATTCCCTCTAGGGGAGGCCCGTTCAGATAATCGTCACTGGCGTTTTCCATAAACGGGAATCGAACTCACACACACGCAAATACGTGCTGAACAAAATAGTTCCACGGTTCAATTTTGCAAGTTCGCGTTTTAAATCTATATAAAATTAACATCCATAAAGCTTCTTTTGGGTTTGATCAGGTGAATATAAATGCGTCGTGAAACCTGCCACCACCGCTTGACAAAGCCAGTTACCAAGGTTTGTCACGTAAACATAACATGCCAATGAGTTACTAGTTCAGCACGCCAGTTTTTGTGTTGGAGAGTGAACGCATTACAACATTTACAAGTCGAGCGATGTGACGTTTTAGTGTTGATTAACAACAGCAACAAGCTCCATTGGTCGATAGCCAGAATAGCGAAGAATTCCTTCTGTTTCCGGTCTGAAATAGAGGGCCTATCCGGTGCAAAAGCCAGAGAGGGGTTAATTTAGTCGTGTAACTTATATGGGAACATATTAATCTGAGCATATGCCCGTTCCTATTGTTGTTTGGATTATTTATAGTTAATCATTATGTTAATCTAAGAGTATGCAGAGAATGTGCATTCCATATTATTGACTGCTAACAGTTAATGTACTGCGTGTAAGCGTTAGATGTCTATGTATATTGTGTCTAATGTGTATGTATATCTGCTGGGTGTACTGCACGCGAGTGTGCAATGCGTATGTATATGATGTATGTTGTGTGTAGGTTGTGTGACTAATATTTATGTATCGTGTATATTGCTTGTAGTGTGTGTGTGTGTTTATCTATTCCGTGTAGTGTGTGTGTGTATATTTGTTGTGTGTAATGTGTAGGTTGAATGACAAGAAGCAGTGACTCAAGACAGGCAGGTGCTAGAAGACACGAATGCGAGCAGTGTCCATACGACATGAGCCACACTGGACACATGAATCTGCACCAGAAGTCACAAATAGCGAAGAAGCACTTCAAGTGCACTACTTGTGAGAAGGCATTCAGACGGTCATCTCACCTTAATATTCATCAGAGAACACACACAGATGAGAAGCCATTCCAGTGCACTATGTGTGAGAAGGCATTTAGACAGTCATCAGAACTTCAAAGTCACCAGAGAATACACACAGACGAGAAGCCCTTCAAGTGCACTACCTGTGAGAAGGCATTCAGACGGTCATCTCACCTTAATATTCATCAGAGAACACACACAGATGAGAAGCCATTCCAGTGCACTACCTGTGAGAAGGCATTCAGACGGTCATCTCACCTTAATATTCATCAGAGAACACACACAGATGAGAAGCCATTCCAGTGCACTATGTGTGAGAAGGCATTTAGACAGTCATCAGAACTTCAAAGTCACCAGAGAATACACACAGACGAGAAGCCCTTCAAGTGCACTACTTGTGAGAAGGGATTTAGACGGTCATCTCACCTTAATATTCATCAGAGAACACACACAGATGAGAAGCCATTCCAGTGCACTATGTGTGAGAAGGCATTTAGACAGTCAGCAGAACTTCAAAGTCACCAGAGAATACACACAGACGAGAAGCACTTCAAGTGCACTGTGTGCGAGAAGGCATTCAGACGGTCATCTCACCTTAATATTCATCAGACAACACACACAGATGAGAAGCCATTCCAGTGCACTATGTGTGAGAAGGCATTTAGACAGTCATCAGAACTTCAAAGTCACCAGAGAATACACACAGACGAGAAGCCCTTCAAGTGCACTACTTGTGAGAAGGGATTTAGACGGTCATCTCACCTTAATATTCATCAGAGAACACACACAGATGAGAAGCCATTCCAGTGCACTATGTGTGAGAAGGCATTTAGACAGTCATCAGAACTTCAAAGTCACCAGAGAATACACACAGACGAGAAGCCCTTCAAGTGCACTACTTGTGAGAAGGGATTTAGACGGTCATCTCACCTTAATATTCATCAGAGAACACACACAGATGAGAAGCCATTCCAGTGCACTATGTGTGAGAAGGCATTTAGACAGTCAGCAGAACTTCAAAGTCACCAGAGAATACACACAGACGAGAAGCACTTCAAGTGCACTGTGTGCGAGAAGGCATTCAGACGGTCATCTCACCTTAATATTCATCAGACAACACACACAGATGAGAAGCCATTCCAGTGCACTATGTGTGAGAAGGCATTTAGACAGTCATCAGAACTTCAAAGTCACCAGAGAATACACACAGACGAGAAGCCCTTCAAGTGCACTACTTGTGAGAAGGGATTTAGACGGTCATCTCACCTTAATATTCATCAGAGAACACACACAGATGAGAAGCCATTCCAGTGCACTATGTGTGAGAAGGCATTTAGACAGTCATCAGAACTTCAAAGTCACCAGAGAATACACACAGACGAGAAGCCCTTCAAGTGCACTACTTGTGAGAAGGCATTCAGACGGTCATCTCACCTTAATATTCATCAGAGAACACACACAGATGAGAAGCCATTCCAGTGCACTATGTGTGAGAAGGCATTTAGACAGTCATCAGAACTTCAAAGTCACCAGAGAATACACACAGACGAGAAGCCCTTCAAGTGCACTACTTGTGAGAAGGGATTTAGACGGTCATCACAACTTAAAACTCACCAGAGAACACACACAGGCGAGAAGCCGTTCAAGTGCACTGTGTGTGGAAAGGGATTTGCAGATTCAAGAAATGTTTTGCAACATCAGAGAACACACTCGTGCGATAAACCTTTCAAGTGCACTTTGTGTGAGAAGGCATTTAAACGCTCATCACAACTTCAAATTCACCAGAAAACACACACAGGCGAGAAGCCCTTCAAGTGCACTGTGTGTGGTAAAGCATTTACACAGTCAGGATGTCTTGCCATTCACCAGAGACAACACACAGGCGAGAAGCCCTTCAGTTGCACTGTTTGTGGTAAAGCGTTTACACGGTCAGTATTTCTTAATGTTCATCAGATACAACACACGGGCGAGAAGCCCTTCAAGTGCACTATGTGTGGTAAAGCATTTACACACTCAAGATCTCTTAACATTCACCAGAGAAAACACACGGGTGAGAAGCCCTTCAAGTGCACTGTGTGTGGTAAAGCATTTACACAGTCAAGATGTCTTAACATTCACCAGAGAACACACACAGGCGAGAAGCCCTTCAACTGCACTGTGTGTGGTAAAGCATTTACACAGTCAAGATCTCGTAACGTTCACCAGAGAAAACACACAGGCGAGAAGCCCTTCAAGTGCACTGTGTGTGGTAAAGCATTTACACAGTCAGGATCTCGTAACGTTCACCAGAGAAAACACACAGGCAAGAAGCCCTTCAAGTGGACTGTGTGTGGGAAGGCACATGCAAGGTCAGACGACCAAAATAGACATGAGAAGATCTATGTGGAGACGGAGGTAGAATCGAGAAGTGAAAGTGCTGCATTGGGTCCATCTAGCATGCAACAAGAAGCAGAAGACGACCCCAGTTTAGCAACGTGGCCAGCAGTGAAGGTGGAACGTAAAGAAGTGAAGATGGAATGTGAAGAGGTGAAGGTGGACTGTGCAGAGGTGATGGTGGACTATAAAGAAGTGAAGGTGGAATGTGAAGAAGTGAAGGTGAAAAATCAAGATGACTCATCTCAAGGACCCGACCTCCAGGTGGATGGAGCAAGCGTGAAGCATGAGGCAAATTCAGACTCTGAGGGAGGGCCAGGCGACCCCCAGGAGTTTGTGGATGTGGAGGTGTGGGTGGAGTTTTTGGGGGTGTGATCGTTTAGTGGTCAGCACGCAGCTCTACGAGCCTGGCAACCCGAGTTTAATTCCCGTTCACGGTTTACATCGGTGACAATGATCTGAATCGGTCCTGGGCCTCCCCAAGGTCAACTCGGCCTCAAATGAGTACCTGGGGTGGTGCCTAAACAACACTGGGTAGATCAAGGCAAGTCGAGCGTAGCGCTAGCCACCCACTCCCTCGCATGCCATCGTCATGATCATGCAGTGCGTCCCCAAGGACGATGACCTCTTACATCGGGAGTCGGTAATCTTTCGTCATTTCACGTGGTTCTTCTGTTTGGTTCCTGTGAGTTTGCTTTTGACTAGCAAGACCTGTGATTGGACGACACATCTTTCCACATAGGTCACATGCACAGTGGGCTGAGGGTAACTCCTGAGATTCAGATGCACTGGTCGATACTGTAACCACTTCTAACCCGCATCTCCCGGCTTAGTGTTTCTCTGTGTCATTAACATGTCTCTCAAGCAATTGAGTAGCTTCAGCCAAGGCTGTGCGCCATTGCTCTCTGTTTTTGGCGAGATTTTCCCTTGAATCTACCGAAATTCCCCATCTCAAATTTGAGTGAAATACATCCTTAAAGTGGCAGGTACTGACCTCCTCTACTTCGGGAGTCCTTTTGCAATTTAGTGTAGAGCTATTGTTTCGGGAGGCTTTTTTCCTCCCATTCTGAGAGTGTCCAGCCCAGCGAAGTTGGGAAACGGTGACCATAGTTGACACAGCAGCCATTCCAGTTCTAGCAAGGTCTGCCGGATGTTGTAAATGGCGATGGTAAGGAGTCCAATTTTCAGAACTATGAAGGAGAGCTACTCCTTTAAACACTGCACTTTGTGCACATGGTGATGCCTGGCTTGTTCCATAGATGCTCTCTAAGGCGACCGAAAGCAGACGAGGCTCAGCTTATTACAATTTTAATCTCTTGGTCCAGATTACCATCGCTTGTCACTGTACTTCCCAGATATGTGAACTTGGTGATTGAGTTAAGTTGGTGTTGGACAATGTGGAGCCTTGCTCCAGCTTCACTGATCCCAGAAGCCGGTTGATGCATTTCCTCAGTTTTATTGAGGACCACAGTGAGACCAAATTATCTGGCTGAATTGGAAATGTAGCTGTCTGGCCCACTTCAGTGTTTTCAACCAAGGCACAGTCATCTGCATACTAAAGTTCACGTACTATGATCTCCCTGATGTGAAATTGTCATGCGTAACCATGGCACGTTATGAAGCCCAGAAACTGTGCGGGACTGGATAGCCACTACTACTTTCAGATCCTTCATAGCCTCATCAAGCATAGTGGCAAAGAACAGGCTGAAAGCGTTGGAGCTAGAACACAGCCTTGCTTCACTCCATTTGAAATAAATGCATCTGATATGTCTGAGGGAGTGCTAACCCTTCCAGCATACCATAATGGGACTATCTTGATTATTCCAAGGATTCTGGGTGGACACCCAAACTTTAGTCGTAGTTTTCATAGTCCCTTTCTCCCTACGGTGGCAAAGTCCAGATCAACCAAGGTCACGTGCAGTGGCTACTGATGTTCAATGCACTTCTCTTGTCCGAGTGTAAAAATCATGTTGGTTGTGTCTCGACCTTCCCTAAAACCACCTTTGCTTTATGGGATAATTTTGTTCGTGATGGCTTCATTGATTCTGTTAAGAATGAGCTTGGCTAAACATTTACGTGGGTTGAAAGAAGAGAAATGTCCATGTAATTGTTACAGTTGGCCCTATTTCCCTTTTTAAAGATGGTACTAAAACTGCATCCTTCAGGTCCTGTCATAGGACTCCACATTTCCAGAACTCTCTGAATAAGTGCCATAATTCTTCAACGAGAATATCTCCAGCAGCTTGTAAGTATGTCTGCAGGAATCCCGTCCGCTCCTGGGGCTTTACCAGATTTGAGTTGTCGGATTGATAGTTTAACCTCATCAAGTGTGGGGTCACTGTCAAGTTCTTGCATAATCTAAGGTGGGGTTACTTTATCTCGTGCTTGCTCTGTGGTTGTACCAGACTGGTTCAATAAACCTTGCAAGTGTTCTCTCCATTTCATAAACAGGTCCCTGCAGGGTGGGCTGGAATTTTTCAAGTCTCTGCGCTGTCTATTGCTGATTTTACACCCCAACAGCACGAGGTTTCACTTCGTTAAAGTATTGAAAGGGGACGGACGGACGGACACATTAATCTATTGCAGGCTGGTACACTCATTTCATAAACAGGTCCCTGCAGGGTGGGCTGGTAGGAACATTGGAATTTTTCAAGTCTCTGCGCTGTCTATTGCTGATTTTACACCCCAACAGCACGAGATTTCACTTCGTTAAAGTATTGAAAGGGGACGGACGGACGGACACATTAATCTATTGCAGGCTGGTACACTCAGTTTACAACTTCGTTCCTACCAGTATAAGTTCCCCAATCTCAGTGATCAGGCATTGGGCCATGGTTTATTTCATGTGGGGTTTCTGAACAAGTAACTGCGCCATAGACTTTCTTGAATTGCACAATAAAACTGTTTATACTGCTATGCATCTGTGTCATTTTGTATTTCAGCTGCTTAATTGTGCCACCATTTAATTTCAATTTATCTTAGCTTCTTCTGGAGGGTGGACCATATTGTATAATATGCAGTTTCCTACTTTGGGATTGAGGACCTTGAAGTAGGGTGTTAGGAGCTGAAGCTATTGCATATAGAAGCTCCTGGATCTGTGGGTCATTCTCATCAAACTAGTCCTTGTGTCTTCGACTTGAAATTCAAAGGACGTTTGATGAGACGTTATAGACGGTGTCCTTGAAACTAGTCAAACGTAGCGCAATATCTTTGCGTTCGTAGGCAAGGTTTCTCAGAGATTGGCCAAGATTCTATTGAAAGGAGAGCTAGAACTATTCTGCGTTAAGTTTGATTATGTTGAGTTTATTTGGAATTGGTGCAGTCTTACACTTTGGAGTATAAATGTAGTGGTCGACTTCACACGGACAACTTCTTCTCGTCTCCGACACCACTTTTATTACAAACTCTCCACATTTAACGCCTGTGACTTCATCATTTCTCTGCTCGCCGCGCTCCACTTGCCCCGCTCGCTCCGCTCCCTTCCCTGTCTCTCGCTCTCTCCTCGTTGTCTCCGTCTCTGTCTCTCTCCATCGCTCGCTGTCTCTGTCTCTCTCCATCGCTCGCTGTCTCTCTCCATCGCTCGCTGTCTCTGTTGCTCGCTGTCTCTGTCTCTCTCCGTCGCTCGCTGTCTCTCTCCGTCGCTCGCTGTCTCTGTTGCTCGCTGTCTCTGTCTCTCTCCGTCGCTCGCTGTCTCTGTCTCTCTCCATCGCTCGCTGTCTCTCTCTGTCGCTCGCTGTCTCTGTCTCTCTCCATCGCTCGCTGTCTCTCTCCGTCGCTCGCTGTCTCTGTTGCTCGCTGTCTCTCTCTGTCGCTCGCTGTCCCTGTCTCTCTCTGTCGCTCGCTGTCTCTGTCTCTCTCCGTCGCTCGCTGTCTCTCTCCGTCGCTCGCTGTCTCTCTCCGTCGCTCGCTGTCTCTCTCCGTCGCTCGCTGTCTCTCTCCATCGCTCGCTGTCTCTCTCCGTCGCTCGCTGTCTCTGTCGCTGTCTCACTCTTGTCTCCGTCTCACTCCGTATTTCGCTCTCGTTCTGTCTCTGCCTCGCTCTATCTCTATCCCGCTCTGTCTCACTGTCTCTGTCCCGCTCTGTATCTCTGTCTCGCTCTATCTCTCCTTGTCTCTGTCTTGTCTCTATCTCTCTCTCTGTCTCTCCTTGTCTCTCGTTCCACTGCTAGCCTGTTCTGTCTCTCACGTCTTCTCTCCGTCTCTCCTCCCGACCTGCTCCGTTACAGTCCCAGCGACAACAACAACAACAGCAACAACTCCGCTCTCTCGTCCCCAGAACATATCCCCGTTCTCATCAACTACCAATGAATTAAGCGGCGTTCTCACGACGCCTCGTGCCTCTGGCACCAGTCGCTATCAACCGGCGGCGACACTCTGCCCCTGACAACAACACCCGGCCAATCACCGCCATGCATCCCATAACCATCTTAATTGGGGCCGTCTCACTTTTGCCGTTCCACGTTGCCGCACCTGTCCGGCCCGACACGGCCCCATAACTCGCGCGTCTTTACAATCCACCCTGCATGCGCGTGTTAATCCGCTACATATATATATGAAGGTTTACCTTTGACCTTACAAGACGCTGGTCTGTGTCACCAATTGCACCCCTTATTACTCGTGTGATGTCGATGTCTTTTGAATCACTCATGTCGAGTAATGATATAATCCATCAAGCCCCAATGTTTTGACCTCGGGTGCATCCAGATTGCTTTGAGATGGTGAGGAAGCTGATAGAAATGATTTGATGAGAGGCTATGCATTGAGCACAGTCCCAGAAGAAGTTGACCATTGCTATTAAACTTGCAAGCATTCCAATGAAACCAGGCCAGGTGAAGCAATTGGCGGGACCCCGGGGTACCATCACTGCCCCGCGGTGGAAAAAAAACGCGTAGCGACACGAGTCTTCAATGCTAAATGCTATGCTAATTCATAGGAATAGGTTTTACCCTTTTAACTGGCACAAAAACTGACACCTTTATTCAAGGCATCATGTTTGCAATAACCACAACACAAGCAGTCAAAATGCAAACAAAAAAGACAACTCTGATAATAATATGCATTATTATTATCAGAGTTATTATCAGAGTTGTCTTTTTTGTTTGCATTTTGACTGCTTGTGTTGTGGTCATTGCAAACACGATGCCTTGAATAAAGGTGTCAGTTTTTGTGCCAGTTAAAAGGGTAAAACCTATTCCTATATCTTGTTACTGGCAAAGGAGGTCTCATAATGTACTATGCTAATTCCTTTGTCAAGGGGTACCTCTGCGGATGTGTATACTTTAACTTAGCCATTTCAATGAGCCATTTCAATGCTAAATTCTATGCTAATTCCTTTGTCAAGGCGCTTGGTCTTTTTCTTCTCACACAGCTTAAAGGTCGCGATCTAAGCTTGTGGCTTCTTCCACTCCAACGCTAATTCCTTTGTCAAGGGGTACCTCTGCGGATGTGTATACTTTAACTTAGCCATTTCAATGAGCCATTTCAATGCTAAATTCTATGCTAATTCCTTTGTCAAGGCGCTTGGTCTTTTTCTTCTCACACAGCTTAAAGGTCGCGATCTGAGCTTGTGGCTTCTTCCACTCCAGCGCTGTCCTCCAGACAGTCTCGTCCCTTCACCTGACGAAGGCCGCTTGTGTTGTGGCCGAAACGTCGTGAGATTTTTTGTTATTTTATTTTCTACCTACGTGACTTTACCCAATAGAACCAAAGAGTATGGACGCGAGTCTTGTTGCCTTACCCACAACAAAGCTAGTGGTCAATCGGTTGGTCTCGTCGAGAGCTACTCGGGGACACTGAGTTTCGTAAAAAGTAGAAAAATTACACAAACACAGTTTAACACGTAGGCTTTCGCGACCAATATTATTCACAATAACGGTTTTTCGGTTAGATCGCGTTTATTTATAAACGTGTCGTAACCCTCCACCACCCGACACGGCCAATCAGCAAAAAAAAAAGTGTCACGTTGACAAAAGACAAAAATAATTCGCTACTTTAGCCCACCGGTGTGTTGTTGAAGAGTGAATCCACAACATTTACAGTTTGAGTAGTACGACGTTACACGAACACGTTAAATTCACCGCCTGGAGTGGGGGGGCGTGGCGTGGCGTGGCTCGCCTTGCCAAAGAAGCCGAGGATCGACGGCTGACCGGAGGGCCTCGTCGGTGGGGGTGGCGCCCGTCGTGTCGATCGCCGCCTGCTGCTGCTGCTGCTGCTGTTGCCGGCGTTTGTCGGCACGAGTCTGGGGCGGGCGGCGCGCGTTGCTGTCGGGGTCACGTGGTGGGGCGGCCTGAACAGCAACAACAACAACAATAATTATTATTATTATTGACCAGATTTTTGCGGGACCCCCCAGGGTACCGCAAAAATGATTCGGGTGTCAATGGTCGGTCCCTAACCCTGGAATTGAAGTCGCCTAGCAAGAGGATCTTGTCATTCCTGTGAACGGAGGATTATTCGTGATAGAACGTTTCCTTTATCGTTTCAGGTTATTTGAGGCTTGAGCACAAGGCGAGACAACTATGATGTGTCTATTGGCCTTAAGAGGGAGGCGCAGCACAATGCGTGTATCTGAATTCCACTCAGGAAGCGATGGCAACGTTCCGGCAAGGGAATTCTTCAAGGCAAATCTGACGCCTGCAGTACGTTTCTTACTTACCTCCGGGTCTTCCTGGCCAGAAGGTGGCATTCTGCCAGGTATTCT